TTGTTTTTAATATTCAATTTACTGTAAGAAGGAAACTCAGTGGGGGTGAGAATCTCTTTTCATGGGGAGAGCTTAAAGGAAAACACACAAACAAAACAATGAAGGGTAACACTTATATACATTGTGCTCTTTCCCTCTCCTCACTTCTGCTCCATCGTTTTTCTATTTATTCACCTCCCTCCATCTTGATCTTCATCTATCTACCACCCTCCATTTTTCCTCTCTCTACCAAATCCCCATCCTCCCCTTATTTTCCACCCTCTTCTCTGCATGTTCCTCCTTTCTTCCCTTTCCCCCTTCTTTTCTGCTGTGTTCATCTGCCCCCTCCTCCCTTTAGCTTAATCTCCCTCCTTCCATCCCTCGTCCCTCCCCTTATCTCCCTCTCTTCCTCCTCTCCTCTTTTCACTCCCACCCATTAGCGGTTATTGAGTTTTCTCTTTGTGTTGCTGTCCTCACCTCTGCTCTATTGCGCTCACTCCTGTGCAACAGTAATGGTCCCTAACTGTGTTACACACACACACACACACACACACACACATACACGTACACATAATACACGTACACAAGTTAGGAATAGAACATGGTGAAAAATACATAGTTTTCTCCTAAACACACACTACACACTTAGACAGACAGTCACACACACACAGACACGACCCCTGCCCTCACTCAGAGTGTTCCTTGTCTGTAATTGCTGCTAACTCATTTAGCACTTCATGTTAGCTCAGCTAGATCCAATTACAGCAAGAGTAAGAAGTTTGAGTAGGAGACCATTTAACCTCATGGCAAAGAGAAATGTATGACATGATATCAAGCATATATAGAATGATATAGAAATTAAAATGTAAGAAGTGAAAGACATTTTAATAGAACTCACAGTTGAAATAAAGACCACTTTTTAAAACTATAAACAATATAATATAAATGGGAAGAGTAAAAGAAAACAACAGGAACTTGATAGGACAATGACAGGCTATTGATGAAGTTCAAATGACACTAATGCCAGACCAACAGAAATGTGCCATTGCATCCTGCTTAGGGTATAATCATGTCATTTATATGCTATTTACATTTAGCTGCAAGAATACTTTCAAAGTGTAACCTATTTTAAGACATTTTTGTTGTATTCAGTGAAAGTAAATACTTACATTCACAACACTTACAAAATGTTTATGTACAGCAAATATTTTAACTCTTATATGTCCAGAGTCAAACATTTAGGGGGATCTATTGGCAAACATGGAATATAATATAGTTTTCATTAGTGTATAATTACCTGAAAATAAGAATCGTTGTGTTTTCATTACTTTTGGTATGAGCTGTTTTTATCTACAAAGGGAGCTGATCCTCTTCTATGGATGTTGCCTTGTTGAACCGGCATGTTTCTGGAAGGCTCAACTGTATTTAAATGGTTGCAATCTGCAACTTCACCGCGAGACGCCAGTGAATCCTACAAACTGGTCCTTTAATGTCTTTCATTATACTAATTACAAATGACAAAACTATAATTAATAATTGCTTAACATGCCTGGATTTAGCAACAGTTATAAACTGTTTATAAGTACATGTGTTTGTACATATATAAATGTATCATATGTCATAAAAGGTAATTTTGGGTGGAAGTTCTGATATTGACTGATACGTACTATAAGTACTTTTAGGTGTCTGTGTAAATTGTCTTTTAGTTGCAGGCAGAGAATGTGGTCATATTTACAGAGATACAGTATGTGTAACTATAAAAAATTGGTTCTAAATAACTAAATAACTTAATTAACATTAATAAAAGTAAACAACACACCATCAAAACCACCACCAAAGCATTTTCACACCATCAGGCTCCAGCTAGGAAAGTCTGAATTTTGAAATAGTCATGAATATCTTTGTAATTTTTAATAAAATAAGGTTTTATTGAACTCTGCAGGGGGCATTCAACATTGAGGGGGCATTGAGTTTTGTCTAAAATAAAGTGTAACAGGAGGAAAAACAAGATGTCTTTCTGCTTCTGTGTACGTGCAGTATATGAAGCTTAAAGCAGTAAGGGAAACAAAGTTATCTCTTATGTGTACTTGTCCAAACGACAAAGTGTGTTAATGACTCCAGTGGGCCAATAATAAAACACTTTCTTGCAAGAACAGTAAAGATAATAGTTTGTGTATGTATCTGAGCGTGTTTGTAGACAAAATTTATTTCCTAAACCAGCTTCTACATTATCTACAGAGCCTCAATTTTAAAGGTTAACAAAGTTATAGGAAAAATCTGAAATTGAGCCTGTTGTGGCTATAGTTGCTTTTTTTGTAAATAACATGCAGCTAGTTTACTCCCCACCCAGTATTTGTCAGTTCTAGATGGAAATAAATGACAAAAGGGTGTGTTGATCAGCTGTGTTTCCAGAGCTTCTATCAGTCTTTCATCAAGAAAGAGACTATTATAAAAATGTTTTGAAAATCAGTGTCTCACATGGGTGTGATGTGAATAGCAGCTATGCCCCACATGTCCTCAATATTAGACTGTGACTGAGACTGCCATGACTCTGTTTTCATGAAACACAAACAAATAAAAAGGTAGATAAAACTGCATAGAAGTTATATGCAGTAAACAGTGTCTCATTTTGACTAAACTGGTGCAATTAGCTTTATTAGTTTCCACTGCCTTTGTTCAAGCAGATTAAACAGCAAAAGTAGCAACAATTTAAAAGCTGTCTTCCATATTGCACAGTAATGAATAGGCAGCAAAGAAGCAAAATAGCATTAAAACTAAATTTGATCACACTTATTTAAATAGATTAATACAATTGAAGGATTATCCCTCAATGAGCATTCAAATTTGATGCTCTCTGATGTGAATGAGATTGTATTTTTTCCTTCTTCTTCTTCTTTTCACTATGTATCACCATGATCTTCCTCTTCCATCTGATTTCATATAGCCAAACCTCAGTGACTGCACTATATGTGTTTGTGTGTGTGAAGCAGCAATCTATGAGGCTGTTCCTTATCTTGGTGACCTGTGTTCACCTCTTGCTTCTTCTCTCTACAGCATCTCTTTGAAAAACTTATTTCCACCTACTGTTGCAACTGTTTATATTGTTGCTGTGTCTAATGTGCCTTTGTCACGAAACTGGCTTGTATATTACCGCTTTGGCTCTTATTGAATTCAGGAAGAATTGTCTGTGCACACAAACAATATAGTATATAATATAGTACAGACAACAAACTGCAAACAATAAAGGCTTCACAAACTTGTGTGAATATAAAAATGGAAAAAAAAAAGTTTTACTTTTACAAAGATAAAGGCCAAAATGGTCCTCCATGATTCAGAGTCACTGTGTTATTTTACAGTCAATAACTGAACAAAGGAAATAAAAAAAGGAAGAATTCTGTTTCATTTGCAAAATTAAATCCAACCTATAAATGATTTTTTGGGAACATTAGAGATAATATGTGTTTGTGTCAAACAAGACAGCAATTTTGAGCCAGTCAATCCGATCATATTAATAATAAACCATCATGGTCTCATTATAGGATATTTAATACAACTTCACAATATTGAAGAATCTTGAAGATGATTGTATGTTGATCTTTTGTTTTAAATAATTCCCTCCCATCCTCATGCTCTTATTCTGTCACTTCCTTCACTGTCTCTCTCACCCATTCTTTCTCTCTTGCACACAGTCCCTGTCTCCCTCTCCTATGATTGACAGCTGCTGCTGAGACTTGATCCACACAAGTCTCAGTCCCTCTCACTCTGTAATTAAAGGAATTATACATCAAGGGTCCTATGAAATATATATAAATAAAGAGGGGAGAGTGAGCTTTGCTTAATTGTGGAGACAAGAGGATGGAAGTGATCACAGCCCAGTAGGACTCTTTTACACACAGCATGACACCAAGGGAGGCGAAATGGAGCTTCTAAAACAACCAGTGAGTGACTAGAGAAACACTGTCTTTTATTACTTGTTTTTTCTTATCATTTATTTGGTTTGCTTTTTCATTGAGTTCCAAGGCTGAGGGCTCAGACAGTCATCTGGCATAAAAGTTGATCCTGGCTCAACTTTGGTCCCAACGCAATGTGATATCATCCACCAACATAGTGGTCCAATCAAATATAAGCAAGAGCACATTCCTGGTGCATTATTTAGAAAGGTAAACATGCTGTTTACCTCTCAACTGTCTAGACGGTAGATAAAATGATTGTTGTTGACGTGAACATTGTGAGAGTTGTAAAATCCTTCCTCACAGTGTTATAAATCCCTGTGCAGTATTTTTTATCTTACTTACTTATATCTGATAAGCCTTCAAACTTATGAATCTCTTAGTCAAATCAGCCTTCCTGGATTGTATTTCATCCTCACACCAGTACCTGAAGCAACATGCCCCCATCAACACAGATCCACGGTTTTCATGCACTGCTGTTTTCAGCACACTCAATTTTAGAGAGAAACCAGTGGACTGTGGTGGTGATTGAGTGCTATCTTCAGCTGGCTATCAGCAACTTATTCTAATGCATGCTCTATACTGATATATAGATACCAATATTAGCGAGAAATTAGTGTAGTAGATCCCTACATCAGTAGGAATCTACTACACTAATTTGCAAATTTGCACTCACAGTTAAATTGGGGAATCACACAGGTCAAAGAATCTCAGAGGATGGACGACTTTACTATGATTATGACTGAAATATTGTAATACAAAGCATCAGACTATGGAATCTGGATTGAGATGTGGATCAGTGACATCCAATGAGTGAATTACGTTTGGATTGGTCCCAACTCTAGTGTGGAGTCAGTGAATGAATGCAAGTCAATGCAATGTCCTCACAGTAATACAAGTTTATGTGTTTATGTCTTTGCATTGTTACCAAACTTATTAAATCCTCTCACACACCAACACATGTATTGTTTGTCACAAGTGGCCTTAATCATCACATTGTGGTCCAACAAAACACATAATGTACACAACTGTACTCATGCACATACACCACACAAAGCCCTTTCATCCTACCTGGGGTCTTTCTGAATGGAGTCGATGGAAGGTGAACGTTGTAGGCTGCCTTCTGGCGGCAGGGCTGGTCCAGACTTGCTGTAGGGCGATTCCACCACTGAGGGGCAGTACTGCAGGGTGCGGTAGGGGTCTGCCACATAGGGGTCTGAGCCATACAAGTCTCCGCCACCACCTCCGCTTGAGGTGTAGCCTGGTCCCACTGTGGCATAGTTGTTGGTCCCGCCACGGCTGTAATTTCCTGTCCCCGTGCCGTGACTTCCTGTGCGCTGCAAAGGGGCGGAGTCGACACCAGGGGAGGAGGGAGCTATGGTGGGAAAGTAGGGACAGAGGACATAACTTAGGATCTGGTCATGGACACGTTGGGGCAGGTCTACAGGGCAGAGGAGGGGGCCAGAGGAGAAGAGGAGAAGAGGCAGAAATGCAGACAGAGATGAACAGGTTGTTGGAAAAAGACAAGCATGTCTCCATATGGATGGATAAATATTGGGCCAATTAAGGGCCAATGTTTAACAGAGGGAAGGATGGAAGAGAGAAAAGAGAAAAATCGTTAAATGTTAAGCAGATAAAAGTTGAGATCATTTTACTGACTGCTGAAATCAGAAGACAAATTATGATACAATAGTTATTTAAAAAAAGGAGATTTACTTAGTAAATACTAAGACCAACTTAGCAATAGTTATTTTCCTACATGAATCACAGTAGCATAGTAACACCTCTTTACCAATACTACTGACAACACTGAGGGTTTATGAAAAATGCTAGCTTTGTCACTCAAATAACTCATCTGCCTGCCATTCCCATGCAATGAAAAATAGAAACTTTGCTCGTAAACCTATTTGTGGGTAGCAAGAGGACGATTGCAGAAACTTTTTCCGCACAATGAGACATCTGCCTGGTGAGCAATAAGGACTACAAAAAAATACAAAAAAGAAAAAAAAAGGTAAAATATCAAGCTATCTCTGTTTAGAATGAGATGGAAATTAAATGGGGATTTGCTCCGCAAGGTAAGCAGCCTGCAGGGGCATGGTAGCTGTCACCTTTCCTCACCGTCGTGTTAGAGCGGCGGGTCGGTGATATATCAAGGTGTTAATGTGAGTCTGGGGGGCTTGTTTCTCCGGCTGTAAAAACACTGAGACAGACGGTGTGGGGGGGGTTCATCTCATCTGTCATTAGGACCAAGGTATGTGTACACAGAAACACGCACATACACACATGCAAAACACCATAAATGTGTTCTTTTGGGAGTACACAATAAATCACAGAGAAATCAATATGTGGCCATGTGGTTGACTGGGGCCTTAACACAGGCCAATGCGCCTCCTCTTACAAAGAGAATTAGCCTTTAAAACGTGTCTGTATGGAAACGTGCGCCACAAACCAGAACACACACTCAACATATGCGCATGGGCCAGAAAACAGGCATTTCCATGCCTCTCATAAAACACATATGAGTTGGAACACATATAAACGTACACATTTACACAGTACGTAAACCTACACACGCATAAACACTGAATTAAAGAAAAGGAATGGAAGTTGTGTGAATGTGAGTGTGTGTGCTAAGGTTGAGTGGCTCATCGTTATGTGACCAACAAACTTGCTCTTTAGCACTGTCTTGAGTGGTGGCATTTACTTGACCTTCACAACCCTCTTATCTCTCTCTTTTTCACCTCTCCCGCTCACACACACACACACACATGTCTGATCTGCCCCCCGTATTTAGTACGAGGCAGATTAAACCAATCCTTAACAACCATTTTCCAAAGCTCTTATTTAAATTCTTCTCACCAAATCTGGTAAACTCCATTAGTCTGCCCACCAGAGGCACAAGAAACCTTTTTAATGATGTAACTACATTAACATATTTTCATTTTCTAACTCTAAAATCAGATTAACAAAAATCCTTTGCCAGCCAGATGGTGAAAAATCCAACTTTCAGACTTTGCCATACAATGCCCATAAGGCTAAAGGCTGTGTGAGCTCTTCTCCTGATACCCCAAATTTGACAAAGATCCAAAGAATTAAGCAGGGAAAGAGAAACAGTAAGAGAGCCTGGGAACAAGAAGAGAAACAGCTGAGAGATGAGACATGGAGCTGCAGTTTAGAAAAGAGCCAAACCAGGGCAGGGGCAGAGGGAGGAAACAAGAGGCGATGGAGTTAGTGACAATACAGCCGCGTAGAACAGAGGGTATAGAAGGGTAATGAAGCAGAGTTACTCCCATCAGAAGCGAATCCCAGTCTTTTCTGCACTCTTTGAATGGTGTCTGTAGTATGTCTGTCCTTCTGAACGTCTCATTAGTGGCCTGAGCTTTAGGCTAACACCACCAGTGTCAGTGTGCACTCACTGAGAGACTTGACACCCAAATAGGATGAACCCCAGAGCCAAAGAGGGAGTGGGAGAACAGTGAAAAGGAGAGAGAAGGAAAACACACAAAAAAATGGTCTGTCAATTTAATTTCATAGCATGTACTGTGTCCAATGAGTAGGAATGTCTTTGGGTACAAGGTGAAAAAGAAAAGAGAAAAGGGAACGACTTCACCAATGATAGAGAGAGATGGTAGGGAACATAGAGACAGAGAAATCCCCAAAAGATGTCCTGACAAATTACTGTTTTCACTTGTCCTTTTGTTTTCACATTCTGTTACTTTGTATTCAGCTTCCCCGCACCTCTTTATGCGTTCCATTTTCTCCTTCACTCAATCTTTCTGTCTGCTCTGCCTCTCTTCTTCTCCCACCTTAAGTAAATGGAGTGCTGCTGAATTTATCATTTGCTCTGGTAATGGTGTGTTCTGACTGATGACTTGACCTTTGGGGCCAATATTGCCTGGCAAAATTCAGCGTGTGGGCGCCTGTTTATGCACAAATGTGTGTCATTGTGTATGTGCTTTTGTATTCCTGTCCATGACATTACCAGTCGGGGTTCTGTTAGATAACATTTCGGTTTAAAGTTAAGCATGCAATTGAAAGTTAAGGTTTAGGTTTGGTGTTATGGGATAAAATGTAAATATGATAGGTCCTCTTAAGTATATTAAGACACATATACGTGTGCACGAGAGTGAGAAGGTGTGTTTTTCATGAATTTGCTAACGACCAGCACAAGGCAAACTCACTGTGCTGTTTCATGAAATATTAAACAAATCATGAAATGTGTGCCCTGTGTGTACAAACAGACGCACACACACACATGCACGCTCCACTAACACCTCTCACACCTAACGCTCTGGTGGCGTGAAATTGTGTGTGGGAGGAAGTAAAAGGGCGGGTGTGTCTTTGTATCCCCTTGCTTCGGCGCAGAGTAAACAAATCGCGGCTGTGCTCCTGCTGGCAGATTAGCGACGGGAAGGGAAACTCTATTAGTCATTTGACACAGTGATACCTCTGCAATTAGCCAGCCGGCTGAGGGGCCGGCTAGCTTGGAGCTGGGCTGACTTTTTCTCTGGGCTGCTGAGACAAGGGAGCCCTCACTGAATGTACAAGAGATGGAGGAAAACAGGAGGAGGGAGGGAGAGAGGGAGAGAGAGAGAGATATGGAGAAGATAAAAAAGTAGAGGAAGATCAAACCAATCCTTCAAGCTTTCCATGTCCATCCTCCCTCCTTGTTCTTTCATCTCTGCCTCCATTTCTTTCAATCCTACTCTGTCTCTGTCACTCTCTTTCTCTCCATCACTCCCTTGCCCTTTTCTCCTTTCTTTACTTCTTTCTTTCCCCCTCTAGATCTGTCCCTCTCTGTCTATACCTCCATCCATCTTTTTTTCTCCCCAATCTCTTTTGAAACCTTCCCTTTCAATCCCTGCCCTCCCTTTTGCTATAGTTCACTCCCTCTCCGCTTCCATTTTTTTGGAGTGTCATCCTCTCTCCATCATCCATTCATTTCATGTTTTTCTCCGCCTTTCTTCCCTAACACCCTTCTGTCTCACTATCTCTCTCCCTCTATTGTGGTTGTAGTAGACTATGTGATCAGAGCTGAGGACATGTCCTTTCTCTCGACACGCTTCAGCGCTCAGCACGATTACACAAAACCCCTCAGTACAGTCTCTATCTCTCTCGCGTACACACACTCGCATAGACACGCACAAGCACACAAACATGGATTTCTAAATATGCAAGTGATTGACACGGACCAAACGTGTGTGCCTGTAACACATCTTTTTCTAATGCTTTAAGGTCATGCAACAGCATGCACACACAACCTTGCCCATAGCAACCACGGATGATGTGCACAAACACACACAAACACACGCACTGCTTGGTTGTGGAGGAGAGCAAGGATTAGTTTCTCCCTCTGTTTATCCCTGGGAAAGCCTCCTGGCCAACACACAGCTCTTGATGTTCCTGAGCTGGAAACACTGGAGGACGCACACACACACGCACACTAACAAATGCCCTCCTTTGCACTTCCAGTATCAAGTATACAGCGTTTTACAGTGTGGGAGCTGTAGGACACTTGTCTCTATGAGTCAAGGTGCCATGTCTTTCACCAAGCATGCCACTTAGACTCAGCAGGGGCTCCAGGCCAGTGGCTGCTGCTAAATGTTCATGCTGCTCAAGGACAATACTGAAAGTCATAAAAAGATAAGTTTTTTTTCTGTCCATGTGAAAGGCACTCTATATATAAGGCATACAGGCACGGCAAGTAGAATCAGTCATGTATAGCAGAAACAAATCGAATACAATAAATATTGTTTGCAGAGGTTGGCAGGTTAGCCTTATTGATTTATAACTGTAAAATGCCCCTGAAAAAAAAAAATCATTTCAGCTAATTACCATAATTATCGTGTATGTTTATATGCATTTTTTCACATTACCTTGTGTTTCTGTCATATCTTGTCTCAATGTCTTTTTATGTCTAATGTAACACTTTGAATTGCCTTGTTAATAGGTGTAACGCAAGTAAACTTGCCTTGGCTTGCCGTTTTTATACATTAGCATAATGTTCCTGTTGCTAAGAAAATCTGCAGCAGCTCTTCGCCTCTGCATCACATTTCCAGTGTCACCAGGTTGGATTGTACATGACATTTTTTGATTACAGTAATTTAAGGCCCAAACCTGCAGGAAATAATCTTTTTAGTGTTCTTCATATTGACACATATCTGAGAATTTAAAGACATTACCCATCATATGCATCACGGTACTATTTGTGGCTCATAGTAAATATACAAAGGGACCACAGTTATGGGAAACATGGTGGCTCAATTCTTAGCACTGTTGCCTCACAGCAAGGATTCAAATCTGACAGCTGCGGCCTTGCTGTATGTTGTTTCCCTTGTATTTATGTAGGTTTCCTCCAGATGCTCCTTTTTTCCT